AAACACACACACAACCACAAAACAAGTGCCCAAACAAACAGCCTATATCCCAAAGTGGGCTAAAGCATAACAAACACAAAACGACTACTAAAATTTGTACGAGAGTAGCCAATCTGGTGGTCCATTCACACTAAAGTACATAGACGGAGAGGGACGTCGTTAAGGTGGAAAGTGCGCCTATGAGGAATAGTGGCTCCGAGGCTGGTCAGGAAGTCAGTAGGTCAGTTCCCCTCGCAGAGATGTGCGAGATCTGACAGCAAACCGACTGAAAATATGGATCTGATACGCATGAGCAGGTGTTGAATCTGCCACGAGCCATGGTGACCCTTAGGTGAGGAGGGTGCGGTAGCATCCAACTCAATCTAAATGTGAGTAGAGATAGAAGTTGCAATATAAAGACCGATTTGAAACGCCTGAACCTTTGCGTCGTAGCTCGAGAAGGCGTGAAGAGGGGCGTGGAAGGCGGCAATGAGAGCTGCGTTGTGATTTCTAGTCATGCCCCCGCCTTCGGCAACTTCGGTGTGTCGATCGAAAAATTCATCGGTGTTCAGCTTAATCCAAGGGGAGTCGGGTCTCAACCAAATAACGACTCTAGGGCGAGGGTGCTGGACAGGCGGCAGCGATGTCGGCACGAGGCGACGGGCCAACATACAACCTGTCGAGTCTCTAAGCATGAGTCTGCCCAGAGCTATAAAGAAAAAGAGATCGATCAACCTGCAAAACATTGTTTTTATGTGCTCTCACATTTTTTTTGTTTAGCACAAAAGGAATTGGTCATGTAAAATGAATGGTTTAACTTAAAAACCATAAACAAGATTTGGGATAAGAGAGAATATAAATCATTCATCCATGTAGATAAACCAACAACGATTGCCAAGTCAAACAAGTAGTAAAATCTTCGATTAAAATCAACAAAGCAACCCTTCACTTTTCATAATTCCAAATTTCACCCCTCATTTTCTTATTCTTCTTCCCGCAGCCAAACCCATTGCTCACTGATCTGTACTACCATAAAAGGGAGACTCAGTATATATTCCATTTGGCGCTCTTTCCACAAATTATCCCTTAAAAATTTCCCCTAAAATTTATTTTCAAAATCGTCGCTTTCGATTACCCAGAAAAGTTCATCCCCTCAAGACGTTATTGTATGCTATATATATACTCTGCACATAGCTCTGCAAGGCTGCTCACAGTTGCTGGCTTGCTTCAATGGCGTCCGAACAACAGATGTCTGCAATTAAGGTGCTTTGTTTGTGTTTGTTTGTTCGTGCCTTTGTGCTATTGTTGTACTTGAGTTTTTGAAGCGAGTGTTGGTTTATATGGCGTGGTTAGGGTGCAAAGGTGCTTATGGTGGGTGCTGGCGGTATTGGGTGCGAGCTTTTGAAGACCCTGGCGCTTTCAGGTTTCAAAGATATTCATATCGTGAGTGGAAATTTTCATCCGTTTCGTACTGTTCTGAAGTAATCGTTTAGTCTAATTTTGAATTATTTGGTGGGCTTGGATTATTAGGGTTTTTTGTGAACTAGGGTTTTGTGGCATGTGCAGACAGTTCCCTTTTAAATCCCTGTAGGTTTTAGCAAATGCTTATTTTGCTTAGTTTATTTGTTGTGCGGAGGCACTGATAAGTCCTTTGGACGTGGAGTCTTTTTTTTAAGTGATTCGAGTTGATCTAGATGTCGAATAGTAAATAGTGTGGAATGCTTATGTTCTAGGCCACCTAATTTGCGATGGCATGAAGAAGGGGCTTAGGGGAAAATGTAATTTAATTGTGGATAATGTGTTATTTCTGCTTGAAGATCTTGCAGGGTCTGAAAGGGAATGGAAATTATACATTTATGTTTTATTTTTAAAATGTTTATGGAAGAAGAAGACATGTAAGATATAGATAGCTTGCTCATCTGTCACTGCACAAATTTTCTTGTGTTGATAGTGGGAAGTGTTTGTAGAGTTAGGCCATGGGCTGTTGCTTGTTGTGTATTTGCATTTTCTTGTGTTGATAGTGAGAATTGTTTGTAGAGTTGGGCCATGGGCTGTTGCTTGTTGTGTATTTGCAATCTTCAAAGATTAATAATAATAATAATAAAAATAATAATAATGTAGAGTGGAATAAACCGGGTGCATCCACAGTGATATAATATGTTACTTATGTTAGTGTAGGAGCCAACTAAAGAAGAAAAATAAATCGATGTGCCCAATCTAAGGGATTAGAATATTCCAGTAATTGATACCCTTATCTATAATATATATACATTAACAATTATCATCATCATTGTCATAATCATATTGTGCAGATGATGTAAGTGTTTTATTATTGCTTGTCTCAACCAGATTGACTTGGACACAATTGAAGTCAGCAACCTAAACAGACAGTTCTTGTTTCGACAATCACATGTTGGGCAGTCCAAAGCCAAAGTGAGTAGAGGCATTAACGTCCTTATTGCTTGTTCTTGTCACTCTTTGACATTTTCCCTAATATACATGTACAAATGTTCAACCAGGTTGCTCGTGATGCAGTGTTGAAATTTAGGCCTAATATCAACATTACACCATATCATGCAAATGTCAAAGATCCGGAATTCAACGTTGACTTCTTTAAGACATTTAGTGTTGTTTTGAATGGGCTTGACAATTTAGATGCCAGACGGCATGTGAACCGCCTTTGCTTGGCAGCTGGTGTTCCATTGGTTGAAAGCGGAACCACTGGATTTCTGGGACAGGTGATGTTTTCTTGTAATGATTTTAGGAACTTCTGCTCAATTTGTGCTATTATTATTGCAGGGGCTTCCAACATTGTGATAACTATCTGTTGTTCACTGGCATAAAATGTACTCCACAGCCCATGTGATAGTTTAAAATGTCATTTATTCAGTCTCTTTGTTACTTGCAGTTTCTGCTATTTAACGTATCTCTTGAATTCCTGCTGTTTTACTAGTGTCTGTGATTTACTGTTGAAACTATGCCTGGCCTTTCTAACTGGTTACTGTTGAAGGCAGGTCACAGTTCATGTGAAAGGTAAAACTGAATGTTATGAATGCCAGCCTAAGCCAGCCCCAAAAACTTACCCAGTTTGTACCATCACAAGCACTCCATCAAAGGTATTAGCATCTGTATTTTAATTTCTTCTCATGTTTTTTATGGGGGAATTTTCTTTCAAAGTACGGTGTTAGACTTTCATCACAAACTTGGTGCATAGCGACCAGGATTCTGGATTCGTAATCTTGGTTTTCTTCAACGAGATTTGTGATGTCTTGCTGCTTAAGTGAATTTGAGCTATATGAAAGGGTCATTTATGTTGATGTAATAGGCTGAGCTGACTAATATTCGTTAGGCTGTGTGTTCATTTTGGATAAATTGTGGTTAATACTTAATATATGCCTGATTGCAGCCTCTTTATTTTTATTGCCCTTTCCTTTCTCCCCTTTTCTCTGTAACTTATTGCCATTACATGTTTCACTCGCAGTTTGTCCACTGCATTGTATGGGCGAAAGACCTGCTTTTTGCAAAACTACTTGGGCCTAAAAATCAAGAAAATGACTTGAATGTGCGTTCTGGCGAGGCATCATCTGAACAAACTGAAGATGTTTTTGAGAGGAAAAATGATGAAGACATTGAGCAATACGGAAGGAGGATATTCAATCATGTATTTGGTCACAATATCGAGTTAGCTTTGTCAAATGAAGATACATGGAAAAACCGTAACAAGCCAAGGCCTATTTATTACGAAGACATAATAACGAGCGAGCTTCCCCGGCAGAATGGGAATCAAACTAAAAGTTCAGTACCTGGAGATACTTCAAGTATTTCTGCTATGTCAACTCTCAGTCTTAAAAACCCACAGGATCTTTGGAGCTTAAAAGAAAACTCAGCTGTGTTTCTTGAGTCCCTGAAGTTATTTTTTTCAGAACGGGAAAAGGTTTGATACAAGTTCCTAAGTACCTAAGCTATGGTTTCCTTAATTATCTAGTTTCTTGAGGTAGTTGTTGTCTGATCTTTTTTTTTTTTTTTTTTTTTTTT